AACTGTTTTACTGTGTATCAACCTTCTTAGCCTGCCACTGCATATAGAAGTTTTAGTATACATTAAAAAGAAAGGGACCAAACAAAAACATGAACAATGCAAGTATCATCTGTGTTTATAAAAAAAAAGAACACAAAAAAAATTTGTCGGCATTAGCTTCAAAGGACGCCGCTAGTGACCCCCGGCCCTCTCACTCGTCATAAAAAAAATTTACCAACAGTATGCGAGCAATAAATTTCATTTATTTTGCATATTTGTTTACCTTGAATATCGTGCACGATATAGGAAAAAAATACTGCTTGAAAAAATAACGTCCGGTTAATTTTTGCTTCTTGGCGCTCCCCTCCCCCTCCTCTGGGGGCGCGTCGTCAACATCGGCCGCGGGATCCTCGGAGACGGTGGACCCGGTGGCATCTCCCGATCCACCGCCCCCGGCTGCACCAGCCTCTGGTCCACCGCCACCGGCTGCACCAGCCTCTGATGCCGGCTGGGCCCGTGAAAAGAACTTGAAAATCGACCCCTTCTTCATGGGCCCTTCTTCATGCTTTACAAATTTCCTGGGTAGCACTGAATGCTGGGAAATCCGAAAACTCTGTTTTTCACCAAATTTTACCGAAAATTGGACGAAAAAGCCGAAATTACTCTGCCGAAGGACTTCGTACCACATCGGGCAACAAGTTTCGCGGGTCTCACCATATTTGGTAAATCAGCTACGTAGGCCTTCGCGTCTTGCCATATTAGGTAAATCATTACGTAATGCCTTCGCGTCTTCACCTGGGGACAAGAGCAGCTTGTTCCCAGGATGTTCAGTAAAGAAAACAATATGGCTGCCATGCGCCCAGCGCGATGCCGACACAGCAAGAAACTTCGGAGATACGCAGTGCAAACATGATATATCGGTATTGTCCAGGTGCAAAATTGCACATTCAAAATATTTTTAGGTGCAAATCTTGAAAATTACGTGCAATTTGCACATTGCACCTTTGTATTTCGAACTCTGGTACAACATAGCAGTGTTGACCACTGAAGTAGTTGTATGTGTGTTTAAGTTAACTTTTTCCTACCAGATCTCAGTGCATTATGATTGACCATCCTAGATACACTGTTCTTATCACCGGCTGTTTTCCTAAGCAGATGTATCAGGGTCGCCCCCAGGACTCTATGGTCAGTCTGTCCCAGAGCGGAGTCCGTATGACAGGATACAGAACCCCCCCATCCTGCCTCCTCAGCTGCTGCAGGTCATCCTCAACAAGGACATGTCTGTACAGGTCAGTCACATGCTTCATGCAAGGAAGACTTACTGGTACTTTTTTTGCTGGGGTTGACAACTAGGGTCTAGGAGAATAGATGAAGTCACATGAAATTGAGATTCAGAAATTTTACTCATCTTATGAAGTAGTTTTAAATAAAGTTGACATATTGCTACAATGTAGTAGACAGATTAATTTTCTGCAGTCTTGAAAGTCCTCCTTTCTATAATGGTGATCCTCTAATTTTTCTTTCTATGATATAGTATAAATACATGCCCTTGTTTTCTGTTTGCTGTCCAGTGTGAGCCCACATCCCTGCCTGAGCCACATCATGTCATGTTGAACCATCTCTATGCCCTGTCCATTAAGGTAAGTAGTTCTCAGAAAGTTTGTTTTCAATAATGATTTACGATTTTGATTTGTGTCATGTATGATGCCTGTGAGAAAACAATTTGATTACCTATGTCCATAAAATGATATAGAAGCACAGACTCTAACCTTTGACTATCAATGTAGATAGTAGCCTATATTTAAACATCCCCTGGTATGGAAAATGATCTGCAAAGGAGGCTACCAATAGATACTAACTAGTACCTTTCTGACAATCCCCTTGTGTGTTTCCTACAGGATGGGGTGATGGTGTTGAGTGCCACACATCGTTACAAGAGGAAGTATGTGACAACCCTGCTGTACAGACCCATCACCTGAGGCCTGATCATGATACTCTTAGATAGACATGGTCTGAATATGTGTACTTCATGTATGCTTCTTATCAATGCAGCAGATATATCTACATATATATGGTCATGTCAGTACATATGCAGCAGTGTTTCTAGCCACAGTAATGCATAGGCAATTTGTATAAATGATTTAGTGATAGACCTGTTCCTTCCAAAAACTTACAAGAAAGACAGTAATGAAGCATTTATTCCTCACTGTTGTCAGCTTTCTGCATATATTTCCCCACACCTTCATGACATCCAGAGTTTGATTATGTATTCCTGTCTCCTGTGTACATCTGCAACATAAGCCTGTCAAGTTTGTGATGGCTAGAGTAATGTACAATCAGGTTATAATGATGAAAGTAAATGAAAGCATGAAAAAAATCTATTACCAAATTGAAACTTTTTTCTTTTATCCATTCTCAAAGAATGTGATGCTACAAAGATGATTGCATTTATTTTGCTCTCCTGTGTCTTGCTTTGCTGCTAAAATTTGTCTCTTTTGGTTTTCAGGTGTGACCTGCCTTGTTTTGTTGAATTTTTCTTTTTCTCTAGTTATTTGTATGTTCGTGTCAATGAACCAACAATATTAAAACCTGTACATAGGAATTGTAGACTTAACCAATAACAAAAGATGAAGTGCATAAAGTAATCTATGTGCAAAGAAGTGTTGTATGTAACATGTCTATCTGGGGTTGTGAAGTTTGCTGATGTTAACAAACTGGTCAGATTTACCAGTAGTTTGCTGTAGTCTATGTTTATAACATGACAACGTTAACTGGGCAGCGATAGAACATCTGGGAATCACCTCTGCAAATGATTGAGATTGTTTTGAGATTACAAACAATAGATTTTGGTTTTTGCACATTAGACATCTGCATGTTCCATCCATCGTCAGTGCAGATCCTACAGATGTCCTATTTTCTGCACACTTTACACTTCCATAGAGAACACCTTTGTACTAACAACTGCTTCACTTGTCAAATACACTGCAAGTCATGACACCTCTAGTGAAGTTTAGAACTCCCAGTGACAATGTGTAAGCTAGCTTATTCATATACTATGTATTTTGCAGAGAAAAGCTCACACACATGTATGTGTACAATAGTAGTTGTTCCCCTAACCAGTGATCTACATGAGACTAGGGATCAAAAGTAGCAAATGACATCAGAATCCACATTACATGTACCAGAGAACTACATGTAGTACACAGATATGATTTTTTAAATTTTGTTATCAGATGTGATAAAGAAAAGATTTATGATAGTGACATGCATATGTTGATTGTTCTAAGTCGCAATCTGTACGAAGAGGTAGACTCTCAATATATATATAAAAGTTTTTGCCAACCTAGCTGGTAGGAAACTTGCTAAAAGTTGTGTGTGGTAACAAACATGTATATTGATGGAATAAACGAGCACAACTACATTTCTCATTTCCCTGAGATGACATACATGTATGTAACAGCACCAGTTGTCAATACTGAAAAATGTTCTGAAACAGTCACAAAAGTATCTATTTACTGTTGAAGCCTGGTTCCAAACTTGATTCCAGCAGACAAAAAACACAAGAAGTTAGAGCTCTGTAAATACAGTAATGGATACTGGTTGCAGTACTTCAGTCAGCTGTATGGTGTCTCTTTTGAACCACCACGTTGAGCTTTGAAGGCAACTTCTGATATCATGATGCATAGCAAGAAATTCTTTTAACCAAAAAAAAAATACAACAAAACACATTAACCAAATAAAACTCTCTGATTCTGCTGTATTTATATATTATAGCAGAACTGATCACTCCATTGTCTTGGAAACCTAATCTTTCTTATTTTATAACATGTTCAATGACACACAATAACTTCAATGATTTCATTGATATAGTCATTGAGAGGGTGAGTTTATTGGCAAAGCAGCCTAATATCCATATCTCTCACATAGGAAAAACTGACAAGTACAGAGTTTGTTAGAGGTGAAACAACTAGAAAAGAGTTACAAGGTAGGTTCCTATCTACTGTGGAGTGCACAACATTTTTGTTGGTGGCCTCTTTCATCACAAAAGTAACATTAAAAACCTAAGGAGAGCACCATATGCCTAATGTTGGGGAGTCACGTTTTAATACTATGTCACAGGTAGCTACATGTAAGTTGGTGAGTCTGAAACAATGTTTGAGTTTGATCGACCCTACACTGACTCATCTAGTAAGGACACATTGTAGGGAATGAGACTTAAAAATGAATTGTACAGGATAGCACAAGTACATGTGTACCCTTGTGAATGTTGTGCAACTACAAGTTGCAGCACAGAATTATTCAGACATCACACAGAGGCTAACAGAGATGACTTAGCTTAACTCGCTTTTGTATCTCACAGTACTGCAATGAAGAGGCTATTTACAAGATTCACATAGATTAGCTACCATTCATACAAAACAATGAGTTTTGTCAATAAATAACCTAGAATCAGAGTTTCTATTCACAAGCTAGGAGTTCCAGAAAGTCCTGGTAAATATTCCTGATTGCATAAAATATCACTAAGTTATTCAAAATCCTCATCTAGACAAGCTACAAACCTTTCCTGGGCTGTTGGCAGCAAAACTGGAAAACAAAAGTAGCACACCAAGAACACCTGCTACATCACCATTCTGAAATGTCATTTGAAATGGTCTTCTTGATACTACGGTGACCTGCAAACCAAAAAACTAAATACTACTGACAGAAAATCCAGAATACACAAATGACAGATTGTTAAGAACACATAAAGATTTTGATTTTTCTTCTTTACTTTTTTTAGAAATCAACCAACATCAGGGCTAACTGAAGGTACACATTAACAGATATAAAAACTACAAAGAAATGACTGGTTGCATCCTAATTATCAACATTTTAGCCCATACATACACCGATTCAGCTTTAAAATAATCTTTATAACTAAATATATTTTCTGTTCAAAGATTAAAATGGTAAAATATTTGCCATGTTAATAAACGAAATGATCACAAAATAGTGTTAACTACAAAATTGATGGCAGAGTTCAATCAAAAGATTGTCATTATGAGATAAAAGCAAAAAAAGGCTGTAAATACACATAACCCCATCAGAAAGGTAGAGCCTGTTGTGTCAAATCCTCATATGTACAAGCCTTAAAAGGCATTCCTGTAAAATGATTCAGTTGTAACATTTACATAAGCTGGGTAATCTGTAGACTATCATTCCTGCTAAGACCCAGTGACATTGAGTACAGAGACATAACAGTACAAAAGGCAAAGTTTGTTCCAACAGCCTGCCACTTTGATTTGATTGTTGTAGCAGGCTGACTTCACTAACATGCCCTTATATTCTCAATTGACATATTAGGGTGATCACTACAAACATTAGGACTACAAATAATATTTTGAGCAAAACCTGCAAAAATAAAAGCCCATCACCATATATGATGAGACAGCAGCAATAATTAATCCTTTTAATCATCATGTCAACTCAGTCGACATTTGCTCCTTGATTTGATCAATCCGAGCCTATGCCCTCACTGTGATTTCAAATTGGATACCTGATTACTCAGTGTCTTACCAAGAAAAGTACAACTATTTCTTGTCATAATTCAATGGTGCATTGAACTAAAATCACATTGTTACATTCTGAGCCCCTAATGATCATCATCAACACCACACAGACTGGTTTCTTGACAGCTGGGAAATGTTAAAAGGACAAGTGTGCCTGACAGCTTGCACATTTTAATAACATCAGAAAAAAACAGGCATGTGCAGGCAGACAGCTGCCCTGTCTCATTAACAGTTGTACAAGCAGTCAGTCCTACAGTTCTAGTTATGTGGATAAATCTACCAACTGACCAGATGACATAGTAGTACCAAATTGAATTCTCCTTCATTTTAACAAGTACATCTTAACCTATATTTATGCACAGAATCACTTCTTCCTTTCATTATTAAGGAAGACCACTTCTTATTTTTTGTTAATGATTCTAACACAACACTTGCGGTTGCACCTGTAGTTTACCATGCTGGCAATGGAGCAGTTACTAGTATCTGCTACTTTGCCTGCCAGATACATGAACTCTCCAGTTAATAAACATTACCTTCCCAGGAATCTTACCATAGTCAATCTGCTTGTAACAAGATGGTGACAGAAGCTCTTTTACCTATGTTTTAAATCTGTGTACAGTAGAGACTGGACCAGCCATAGCTCGCTGGGGACTCTGCCTTACTACCCAAGGTTTCTGGGGAGCAGCTATGTTCGTCTGCCAGTTGGAACTTTAGACATAAGTGTATGATGGAATGGAGAAGAATCCTCACTCTAAGTGATGCACCATCAGCCACCTAGACTTAAAGTACTTTGGTTGCAAGTTTTAAGAGTCAATTCAGTAACTTGAAAATCTGTTATTCTCCCCTTTCACCAAAGCTGCTTGAAGTGAGGCAAGTAAGGAATACAAATGTGTTTTGAGCCTTAAACTGATTGAAATCACCAAACAGTAACACACTGTAAGTGCACTGCAGCAAGCAATTAGTTAAAACTCAAATTCTAATGCTTCATTTTCTTTGTATTTCAACTAGCAATGGTAATTGAGAATCACATTGAAAGATTTCTCTGGTTGAAGGATCCCAAACTGATGTTTGAGTAGTGGTTTATCTCAGATAAAATATATACAGATGAATTCACAAACCACTGTAGGATCAAGGCTAGCTGAGAGCAATAGGCAGTGTGAAAAGCAGATGTTCATGCCTGTAAGAGGAGTACTAGTGTTGCAATGGAGGATCATAGCCTTGTAATGGCATTCTGGGGGAGATCAGGCTGCGATTCAAGGTTTTAATGTTGAAGCATTTTAAAAGGAAGTCTAGAGCACCAACACTACAAACATGCTCAGTTGTCAACAGCATTGGGGTAACCAAAAGTAGATGACTCATGCAATGAACAACACTGGAGCATCAGTCCTTACTCCACATACTGTGTCATTATGATCCAGTGCACTGCAAACTGATATGTTTTTATGACTTTGGGACTTGGAGATCAGCTACTGTGGTTTACAATTGCAATTCAAAAGTCTTTTCTACCGACGGTACTGCAAAGGGGTCGTATGGCTGTGTTGGTGCCATGGGTTGGAATGGGTCTCTCTGTCCATTCAGGTGCGGCTGGGTCTGTCCTGGCCACGGGTCACTTATACTGCCATTGCTTATGTTGGACGTTGCAGTGAAGGTTTGCTGTCCAAGCTGGGTAGAGGCTGGACTGTACGCCGAAGCACTGACGTTGGTCCTGACTGTGGAATGCATGGGTGGGGTTTGTTGCGGTCTGAACTGGGCATTGCCTGTCATGGGACCTGCGAACGGGTCAAACGGCTGACTCGGACCAGTTCTTATCGTGTCTCCATTGACTGACCGTGGGTTGAAAGGCTCTGTGTGTTGCTGTTGAAGAGCGGGGCCAGAAACGCTTTTTGTTATACTCTCCAGCCATGCATCTGCATCTGACATGGACTTCTGCCGTGGAGGGGGCGATGGGAGGTGCGTTCACCCAGACACTGTCGTCCCTCGGGGACTGGCTGGCCAGCTGTGAGGCTGCCAGGACCTCTGCAGCCCAGGGGTTGTTGTGCTTGATGGGGACGGCCTGCGGCTGAGACCTCGCAGCGATGGGAGACGCTCCACTTGCAGGTGAGGGGACTCCGTTCACTGTGCAGAGAATGGGCAAAAAATAAACACGTGTCAATCAAAAGTTTCAAGAGAGCATAGCTTAAAGCTTTGCACATGCTGAAGGCACCAACGGCTGTGGACTGACAGCACAAGTATCGAGGGAATTTTGAACATTATAATTGGATTAAGAGCCAAAGAGCTTGAGGATATGAGGCAGCTCATTAAGTGGTACTTAGGGTTCATCAATGAGGCAAGAGAGCTTGTGCAATCAGCTGGTGGGGTGGGTAAGTGCTAGTCTTACCGCATGTGTCCACTTACGTAAATGATCTGTATAGGTTAAGGATGGCATGTGGAATGCCTACATGTACTAATGCAGTACATTGAATGGTAATTTAGAGGCAGCGAAATGTGAAAGGGCACCTAAATGGCTGTACTTATAATGGAACCATTCCCTGAAACATCAGGGGATTTTATCAATCAATACCAATATGGGGTAAATTGAAGATGTCAGGAAGGGCTTTTTACCTCAGCTGATAACTGCACAGGAATGGCCTGATAGCTAAGGTTGATAAATCATTGTTCACGAATCACTACAGTACCTAACATGACATTGGCATGTACACTGATACAATTTGTCATATTTGCATTTCAGAAAATATCAGCTCAAATGGTAGTTTAAAACAGAGAAGACATGTACTGCAGCCTTGAATAAAAGGTGAATGAGATATCGATCTTGTGAAAAGTGTTCACTGCTATGAAACTGCCATGAATGATATGATATGCCAATCTAGATGACAAGAGTGGAGACAGACTCAGTTGTTACCTTGATGGACAGGTGAGAAGGTGGATGATGTAGAGCTGGACCCAGATGGAGACAGAGCTGCTGGGGTGCCGCTGATCGTCGGCTGCAGCTGGGTCTGCACCTGAGGTGGGCTGGCCATCTGCTGCTGCACAGCAGTTGGAGGCTGGGCTGGGGCTAGTGGTTGGACTGAAGACAAGAAAGACAATTTACATACTGGTAACATTCTCATTTCCCACATTAAGTGTAGATATAGATGCAAGACAATCTTAAGTCTTCCTGACAGAAGTAGAAAGAAATGTCAAGTAAACCATGACATAGAGAATCTGGCATGACAATCATGTGTGAAAAGCAAGAGAGGTGGAACATTGTGCTATGTGCTAATCTTTCATGATTACTTACTTACGTAGGCTTAGTTCCTCCCTAGCTACATTCATTTTCTTAAAAAAATGTAGATATAATTATATAATTATATAAACAGACTACCAGGTGAAACTTAATGTGTGGAACTGTTTCTTATGTTGATGACAAAACCTAGCAACAGAGCTATCATAACAATGCAACTGAAATAAAAAGAAACAAGGTCAAATCATTGCTCTTGGATCCCTTGGTTCAAAGAAATAAAAAAAAGGGATAAATGCTGACACTCATCATAGACAATACACATACACAACTACATAATATGAATGGTGTAAAGATAGGTTAAAGAATAAAAAGTGTAACTGGAAGAGGAATCACAAAGATGACAAATCCTTCACTTCTGTGCTGACCTGGCATCAAAGTATCTGAATACAGGAAAAAAAAAAGCAAAGAAAATCAACTCATGGGTGTGTTTATGACAAACATCACAGTTTACCATGCTGCTCAGCCTCCACATATGCTGATACATCCACGGGTGGGGGTGGCCTGGCCTTGGGGCGTGGCCGGGCAATCCTGTGCTGCTGAAACTGAGCTTGGACTATACAAGACAACATCTCATCAGTAGAATAGGCATGAGCTAAGACTTCTTACTTACATAACAAATGTGACTGTGGCTATTCAAGACTATGTGACAGAAGGAAGAGGATCCTTAGACATTTTTATTTTGTCATAAAAAATTTGCTTTGTGAAAGGAAAACTACAAAACTGTGACCAGCTACAAACACAGGCTACTAACATTACTGTAACACAAATTTACTTTGTGCAGGCAATCTCCTATTGTCTTGCACTATCAATTAACCACATCTGGAACAGAAACCTCCATACCTATAGGTTGCAACTGATGTGCAACTGTCTTGGCAGTTGATGTCAGGAATTGGGTGACTAAGAGAAGAAGGAGAATGCAACATTGAAGTGGGGAAAATACTAGCTAGTAGTTGGGAAATCTAAAATGATCAGTGTAGTTAATGTAAGACTAACTGGTATCAGAATGTGTGTGATGATTGAGCAGGCTGCAGGGCACGGCTGTAAAAAAAGGTCAATCTGGTGTTAGCTGAACATACAGTGTATATAAATTACCACTGGTTTACCAGATTGTACATCATAATAAAATCTTCAAGAATCATTTACCTATCTAGTTATGATGTACAAAACAACAAACAAATGTGTTCAAAAGTAGCTGTCATCTATACACCAATACAACATACACAATCTATGATGCGTTGTAAATTGATCTGAGATCACATTATGAGGTTGGCTGAAGTATCATCTACATCTTGTATTATGCAACACAAGGAAGTCCCACTGGATAACAGACTGCAAAATCTAGAAGACTGCAGAATTATGTTACACTTGGGAAACAAAAGTTAAAACCTGGTGTTATCTCAAGTGAGCCAACATGAGTATTTCCTTACCTATAGTCTGTGGCTGGGAAGTAGCAGTGCCAGTGGAGGAACTTATTGATGTGAAGGGGTCGTCTGTGCTGCTGAGGGTGAACAAGTCAGACTGGATCATCTTGCACATGGCGCTGATGCTGTCCTCTGGTGCAGGCTGGGCTACTTCTGTGGTAAAATAAAGAAAGTAACTAAATTGTAGCAAGTCACTACATGGATTTTCTGGTGGAAAATTCTAATACTGGCAGCTTTGGTTGCAGTAAGACAAGTAAGATCATTATTTTAAATCTCCTTGTTGCAGGGTTATATGTACTTCTAGTTCTAAAATTGTTAAAAATTCTGTACTGTAAGGAATGAAGACCTGTTGTGCATAACTGCCATGTCAACATGTTATGTTTGAAGGTTTGAGTTAGGCTTGTACTTTAGGGATGTAGGATGGTGGGTTTACAGAAACTGACCTCACTCTAAAACCTTTTAGCACTGGTTCTGACTGGTCTATTGACTTTCATACAGACCATGGACTACAGTCTTCATTATCTAGTTTTCTTCACATCAATTTGGTGCTTTTCAGATCTATAGGGACTTGTAATTTGTATGCTATCTTGGGTATACCACAAAAATGGAAGAAGTTACTTTTAGTTATTCACTTTTAAGAGTGCTGACATTATCATGATAAAGCCACAATGGAGCAATTACCATAGCCACATGACATTTTATGGCCCCTAAATACAAACATGGTCCTTTCCTTCATTACAAGAGATATTTCCACTGATAGAGTTGATCGGGTGAATACAGTGGATGTCACTTGGGCATTTACTACCTTTGTAAGAAAAGAAAATATGCCTGTAGATGTCACAGGAGAGGCCTGACTGACAAATATTAGTCTATTTCATGAAGCACCATTAGGCACAAGATTGAAATCCTTTTTATCCTGCATTAGGCCCCTTAATGTGAGGTTGGGGGTGGGAGAGGGTGACAGTGGTTGTTAGAAGTATTTTGTAAAGTAGAGAGAGAGAGTGTGAGTGAGTGAGAAAAACTACTGATGATATACCCTGGATTGTACCATTTGCAGGGGGTGGGGGTGCCGCAGGTGCAACGTCTGGCTGCTCCTTCCTCTGCAGGTTCGACGGAAGCTCGTTTAGTCTGAGCGACAGCTGGCGTTTGAACGGAGAGGACTTGCTGCTAAGCTTGGGGAAGAAGCGGAAGGAACCCTGTCTCTGCAGAGCTACTGTGGACAGCGGAGCCTGCTGCCGGGGGATGGCTGCTGTCTGAACAGCCGAGGCCTTCGCAGGCGCTGTGGAGGGGAAAAGCCTCATGTTACTACATCTGTCAAACACAAAACATGTTTAACATTTCATCTAAAACACTGCTTTTAAATAGTGAGTTCACTCAATGGTACATTACACAGAACTGTTGTCATTAATACAACATGAGGAACTTAATTGCAGTTATGGTGGGGACAAGAGAACCAAGAGAGTCTCCTACATGAGATAATCCATTGCCATCAAGAGGACCAACAAAGGTTACAGCCTAAACCCAAAAGACATCAAGTTTATTCAAGAGATGTCAGTGTCAAGGCAGACAAGACAACAAATGACATCACCATGGTAAGGGCTTAATAAATGAAAGCAACAACAAGCCCATTGTATTTAAATGGCAGAATTTGTCTTTGTACATCTTCACACACTCCATGTAACTTGTAGGAGGTCTACATACTCCCAGGTGAAGCTGCGTCTCCCTGTGCCTCTGCATCCAGGTCCTCCTGGTCCATTCTCTCAGTCATCGTTGTCTGGCGGAATGAACCCTGTCGTGTGAAGGACGTCTTGTCCGCGTTCCAAGTCACTGTCACTCCACAGTCCTTCTCCCTCTTCTGTTTTCTTTCTAGACATGCTGCAAACGCACAGCCTACAGCATGGCTTAGTCTCTCTCCCTGTGGAGAAAACAGTCTGTCAGATAGGGGCAGCTCAGATGTCTCTTGCACAGGCTATAGCATGACTTGCATGTAGTCTCTCTCCCTATTGTGAAGAAAACCTACAGTGTCAGATACAGGCAGTTGAGACACCACCTGCACAGCATACAGGATGACTTAACCTAATCTACCTAGTACCTGTGGAAGAGAAAACACGGTATGATACAGGCAGCAGATTTGACACACCCACAGGTTTGCACTATAGTTTATTCCTCTAAAGCATTCTTTCTTTCTTTATTTCAGGGAAAAAAGTACCCATCTTACTTTCTGGTTCAAATTTGGTACACTGGGTACCTGTAGAATGCAAAAGGTAATCTGTTTTGTCCTATTTACTTCTTTTGAAGCAAGACATCTGCATTCTGCAGCTACAACTGAGCAGTACAGTACAGCATAACGAATGCAATACCATGTTGAGCCTATGGCAAAATATTGACAAAAATTCATGCAGACATAAATGATGGATGGACTATTGTCAATTATTTGCCTATTTTGAATTTCATCTACCTGGTTTTGCCCATTGTTGTTCTGCTGAAACATACTGGACTAATTCAAAAGGTTAAGGTTTCAACTTGGGTCCAGTTTCAACTTAATTACTGGAGATCTTTGAAGAGCCTAAGTGCTAGGGGCTCATACAGCAACTAATGGCACTTGAGTTTTCTACTATTAATGGTTAGCTCAAAGCTCATGGGAAGGGCAATGGTCACCCTGATGAAATGGCCATCCCTGGGACAGAGAGTAAAATGGAAGACAAACTGGCATGACGATGACATCAGACAGGTCCATCAACTTTCCTTTCCAGTGTGGCAGTACAGAGGCAGATAATAGGCAACCAGATGGAAAATCTTTCGAAATGGCGATCACAACGTATTGGAAATCAATAATTCCCGCAGCCAAAAGGACTGTAATTATTTTCTGCCACTGTTGCAACAGCAGTGAGAAACCCTACAGTCGTTACACACACATACGGCTTAGGTGACGGCAGACGATCAAACAAAGAGACAGTCTTTACTAGCCTGAGGAAATGCAGGGATACATATATCAGAGTAACGTAGACTGATGAGGATAAGAACTAAAAAAATTAACTCCCAGTACACAGGGATATTTCACTATGGATATAGAATACTAAATCTAATTAAGATGTTGGATTCTGCTGAATTCATCTGAAACATTTCCAAATAGTCTTCTTAGCAAAGAAGAACTGCTCCCGACTTACAATACTTCTTGTAAACTATAGCCCAAATTTTCCTCTTCCATGAATATTTTGTATTAATAAAGGATTGCTCCCTTATTATAGCTCCATGACAGGACTTTGTTCCTGACCATCATTCCCTCACCAGACAGGAACCAAATTCATTTCAATTTGCCTCCCCAAGGAAAATTTGTGGAGCATTTACGAGGAGTTGGCTGGTACTTACAGAATCCTTGATGGCCATGAAGCCATGACACATCCATCGCCGCGTGGTGCCGTCCCTGCAGATGTAGGAGAAGCCTCTCTCATACGTTCTGTCCGGCGCACAGAAGGAAACCTTCTCTATCGTCTGGTCCACTATCAGGCCCTGGGAGAGGCACATAGGAACAGATGTCAATAAACAAAAATTCAGATACATACCAGTAGAAATCTAGCCAAATGGCACACATAACAAACTTTGGTAAATTACTGTTCTACTTATTTGTTGTACTCAGGGGAGTTTAGAGAAATAACAGAAAATACTAGACTATTTATGTGGTATATTTTATTTTTACTTTTGATAGATCCAAAGAAAACAAATTATGGTCTATTATGGAGTGCAACAAGGGCCTTTTATTCCACGTGTGAAAGCCAAATGCAAGCTCTTTGAATAGAACAAGCCATGCAGCCGTTGTCAAAGAACACAGTATGCCCATTGTGCCATGTCACAGACCTGTGACACAAAAACTGGGAAAAACTATATAGCTGCAATCTAAGTGGGATTTTTAGTAGTAATGATTATTGACATTTCACATTATGAAAATGAATTTACAACTTATTTGCCAACATACAACTTATCTTCAGAGAATATATCCAGTGCCCCCCCCCCATGCCCAGTGATGCTTACAGAATACAAATTATAAGAAGATTGTAAGATGTTATAATAAAAAAATGCAAACATCATTGACCTATTTAATATACATGACAAATCATTTTACATTCTAAACACACATATACTTGTTATGTTCAAAATGTTTACTAGAACTTTATCAGTCAACACCACCTTGTTTCCACCAGAATAAGGGGGATGAGTACAGTCAGTTATGCTGATAAAGCTGTCCAATCATGAGCAATTGTTCTATGTAGCCAATCCTATGTAGAACCCTCGGGGGCATTTTCTTCCATCCTGGTGCTTAAAACTGCCACACTTGAGCTGAGTGGCTTGTTTTAAGACCTACTGATTTGTTATCAACAGTTGATTAATGTCTTCCTGGCGTAGGTGACATCAATGTAGTTAGAGACATTTGTAGCTCTCTCCGGTGCCTGGACAGAATTTTACTGCATAGCACGAACAAAATATTCAACCATTCCATCCCCCTTGACACACAAAATCGAAACTTTAGTTCTATTTTCATCAGTTCGTCAATAGAACCAGGACTGAGCCATTTGAAATGTGCCCTTCAGAATATGGAAACTAGCATTTCAGGGGGTTAAAGAGCATGCCCCCAGACTCCCAAGATTCCTTGTGCCTTCTACACTTCACACATAGCTATTCATCACATGGAGAGACTGAGACACATCTGGAGCTGGGGACAGCCCTGGGATACACAGTGATGCCCACAGAATATGTACCCTCTGAGATTGCAACAGTCGCACTTACACTTATAATTTTAGACTTCAAAAACAGTCTGGATTGCAACCCTGTTACATAATATGACAAATGAAACTTAGCCTCAGTAGGATAACATAAAATATGAGACACCATTGATCTATGGTTTCTGTGCCGTTGGCCATCATTCAGGCGAGAAATTAGCTAATGAGTGATGAGGTCAGGTGTTAAAATGCCATCCGCCCATCGCTGACGGGATACCATCGATCACCCCAGTTGCAATATCCAGATCTAATTGTACATTCATAACAGGTTGACCAGCTGGATGTATTAGATATGACCAATTCTTCTGCCATCTTTGCATGTCATAATTTATTTATCACCACTTAATGTATATTACACGTAGGATATAGTTAAGAAAATGTTGTAAAGCGTTGGATTATTGGTTTTTGTTATGGCTGTTTCAACTCCTATTGTACATTCCTCTTGTGAAACTGGACCACAGTTGGCACTATGCCAGACTTGATATTGTAGCAGGTTATGGGCGAATTGACGAAGGGCCGTAGCAATAACAACTGGAACATCTGCAACTATAGCAATATATGACACCTTCAAAATAGAACATATCTATCATCGAGTCCTGCTGGGGGATTGCACGGAAATCCAGCCGTGTTCATCACCTTTGGGGAGTTGTATTATTTCTCCAAAGCATTGCTGGAGAAGATTAAATACAGTATGCATTTGGGCATCAAAAGCGGATGAAAATCCTTTGAGAAGCGAATAGAAGTTCCTTGAAATGCATAGCATTCTGAGAGATTTGAAATACAGTATTAAAGAGATAATATATGGACAACTATACCTAAGGCCACACCAATTTAATTTCTTGGTTAACGGATTCGCCTCTTCATTTTTTTCTGATTTGCAAATAAAAATAAAAATTCAGAATCAACTGCAAAATGCTCATATTTTGCCCTGAACAGTTGAAAACAGTCCTTTTCTTATTACTTGTTACAGTCATTCCATCTTTCAAAGCAGTGCTACCATTAAAAGTTCAAAATTCACTGTTTAAATTTTGAACCAGCCTGGTGTGTTGACTTAATGGCTCCTTTCGTACCATTTTGGATGCCTAGGCCAGTACTGCAGAAGTAATGCTGGTTTGGCGGCACGCCGCCGCTCCCATCGTACTTGATTGGAGCAGATCGTCCGTCAACCAAGAAATTATAATTGGTGTGGCCTAAGGCATGTGTTTGCTAATAAATGATATATGGACACAAGTGTCATCTACGATAACTTTTCTATAGCACTTGGTGTACATTAGTACAGTAACATCCAGTAAATTATGAAAGTTACTAAGAATGAATTTGAATTACACTTGAAACTTTTGACTGCAAGAAGTTTGTTCTTGAATAATTATTTAATAAGCACCAGGATATTCTGCTACAGTCATTTTACATTTAGATACTACAAATGCAGCCAATAGCAAATCTAGAGACAATGATCAGTTGGTTCCATATTAGACCGGGACAGAATTACAGTCATGTGACCTGTTGAGCGGGGCCACCACTTTTCACATGGAGTCTGCAGGTGATGAACACTACAGATGCTCCCTGCCCTGCCCTGACTTATGGGAAAGGCAGAATGTAATACTCTTGCCAGGGACGGCACCCTATCGCGAGCAACCGGGTGATGTTTGATAAAATATATTGCATTCTGCTGATCGTGATCAGACTTACAAAGAACCTTCTGGTTAAACCATTCTTTCTCTCTTGCTGCCTTGTAACCAACACTACTGTGATGCCAAAAAGATAATTCAGCTAGGAGAATGTTGTAGATGACATTGTGATGTATAAATGACAGATCTCTGGCTGAAGAAAGTCTGATGTAAACTGGATAGGTATGTGTGTGAGTGGTAAGTGGAAAATATACCATGCCTGTTAATGGATCTTTTATCATAAATTCAATCTGAATATCATGTACAAAGTGCCCCTGCTGCTACTACATGTAGTATTTAAGACCTTTACTTCAAATTTCCATTCGGGAGTATTCATCTTACTCATTAGAAAATCCCCTTTAGCTCTAATTTCCCAAAGCTCACAGAATTAAAAAGCAATAAAAAATGGCAAGTATCATACATCAATGCAATTGACAGCTATCTTAACATGCAAAACAAACATGTCTCATTAATACCCATCAGCTGGGCAATGATGCATTAACACTCATCAAGTGACCAATTTAATTAACCAGTTATGGATTAGGATATGACTTTGTTACAGAAAAAAGAAAAACAAAAATTTTCAAGACTGGAATACAGTACTGTAATCTGGTTGATTACCTTGCTGTCTTCATCCACTACTCTGAGTGCGTCTGCTGTGACCCACAGTACCGCTCTCGTCTTCTTCCTCCCCGACTGAACAAGAGACAACAGGTGAGATCAGTCTAGTCTGTACCCAACATCGAATGGTGTGTCATGAGACAAAGCAATGGTTTCCTATAGGAGAAAATGTTCTGGAAGTCTGTCAGGAAAAAGAGGGAAAATTCATGTCTTTTTTGAGTCTCTCCATCCTGTTCAATGATGAACAGGTGTGTGTGTATGTGTGTGTGTGAGTTTGTGTATATGAATATGTTGAAATGTTGCCCTTTTCAGTCAGCCGTTTAGGTCACACATATACTTTCTGCAGCTTCACCTCCCTCCAAATTTAGTGGTCTGGCCCTCAGCTGATTTTAATCACACACCTGGGACCAACTGGCCATGAAACATTGATGGGAGACCATTCCCAAACCACCGTCATGCCAAAAATATACTATGTGCAAAACACCAATCACTGCATTACTGTCACTTCAAAAAATAACAAAATTTGGCAAAAAATTCACAGCTCTAGCAGTCTTTAATCTATCATACAACCATTCATTTTACACATTACAGCAACAAAACATGTTGTGGTCCTGTTAATTTTTTAAACTAAGATTTGGGTTGCAAATTCTATATGTAACACATCACATTACATTACAACAAATGCAAATTCAACATAATGTGAGATTCACAATTACTGGCATGTACTGTATTTCTCTAATACATAATGTGCACTGCATAGTCTAAAACGTAGCGCAAACTCATTTGAGACAGTACTCTACATATATATCTAACAATAACACTTCATATATTCAACCTACCATGCAGCTACCATGCAGAAATGATGGTTAGTTCTCATAGCCTCACGCAACGTGAGCTTGAGTAAAACTAAAAGTACATGTACCCCATTATTTGTACTAGGGACAGTCGGTACAGTGTATCTGCATGCATCAGGCTGAACTATGCAGTTTATTTAATTGCAAGGCCAGTCTGCTACACTGTAGTTAGACCAGATTTATCACATGGATTACAGTCAGTAGAAGCATCTATGTTCTGCATGCGTGGCTAGTCCAGGGGTTACACCAGGGTTATGAAGCACCGTGTATGAAGCTGCCCTTCACCCATGCAGGATAAAAGTGGACAAAAATAAAGGAAATGAAGTGAAATGGATCAATAAACAAAAGAGAGCAGAGGAGTGAAGGTGGTGATGTTCTGGGCCTGTCTGTAGTTTTACCTTTCCTCGACGGAAAAGTCCTCGTACACCCTTGGAATCCTGGGGGAGGTGTGATAAAGGTACAAAATATAAACTAAAACAAAGTAAAGAAACTGTGTGAAAATAAAACAAAACAGGTGCCCTTGTTTGTAAAGTATGCACAGTGCTTAAGATTTAGGGGAAAGTGTCTGGCATTCAGAGAGAAAATTCTACTTCTGGTTCTAGTAAGCAGAAATGTGTGGAAGTTGAGAAATGATAATGTACCAGATATCAACATTCAGAAATCCTGTAATTTACATTTTATTGTTATCCTTAACTGCTGTGTTTGAGCGTAATGGCCTTTTTTGGCATTACTTAGTAATATTATCATGTGTTCTAAGAATTCTGTTGGTAAAATTATTCTTATTGAGAAACCATATTATGTTCATTTACTCCATGAACATTATTGACTTTGAGAACTGCAGACAGATCTTTATTGTGAATGGCATACCGATTTATCTTATGATAAAACAAAATGAAATTCATGACATGGATTGCAATGTACAATGTATGAATCAAGACAAGAGAAGACCCAATCTAATCGTCTATCATCTGTGTCTGAGAAAACAATTATAGGACAAACTGACTGGATAAATGAATACTTGATATCACCAGCTTTGATTTCTGACAGGATTATAGGTTAACACAATAATCTCCTGCACTTAAGAAGTTATCCTGTCAGATAAAGGGATTTATACATTTTGCTGAATTGATTTTTTTCTCCCTCCATCAACAAAATGAAACAGATCAACTCTGATGGGTAACTGCTACTACACTGATAGATGGAAAAACTGTGACAAACTTAAGAAGGCAAGAACTTTCTTCAACTGTTGGGCCAAAATAGGAGCAAACATGTGTTTCTTGTGCCTGACAAACTATGTAGTGCTTGACTAAGACGGGTTTCCGGAAAAGGCTGTGCTGTGCATGTGCATGTGCTGTGCCCCTCTTCAGGGCCCCAAGCCTATGTGACTTTTTGACAATACAAAAAGTATATTTTCCATTCTTTTCTTTACATAGTACGTTGACTTCCAGAATAATACGCAGCAACAAAAATACAACATCCTTGCTCCTTATGAGCTTACAAAACTGTGAATGATCTTCTATTCAAACCTCTGGCCACACCGCACATACATGTATGGTTAGTCTCCTGCAGGTAAGCTGGACCCTCTATGGCCGGCCAACTCCTCTGGCCAATGATGTTCCCCTTAGCCAATTTCTACTATTTATTCAGCCTGCAAAGGAGTCTGGTGGAGACTAACATATGGTATTGTCCACATATGGTACATGTACCTCCCAGTGGGGCGTCAGTTGACAGCTTTGTACAAATTTCTGAAAGACCTCATCATTTACCAGATTTTTTTATCTCTTTTGAAGGGATAATGGCACAGTTTATTGATACCCAATAAGATACACTAAGTTGATAATCATATTCCGCTTTATGTCAAAGATATGAGTGTTTCCAATTAAGAAGTCAATCTTGTGACATGTGCTCCTGTCTATCTATCCTGTCATGCCCGACCAATTAGCCACACTAGGGGGGCCAACCACTGCCTGTTGTTGTTGTCCTGAGCAAACCGGTGGCACCGGGAACTGAACAAGAACTGTTTGAACGCACAAAATATACGTCAGAAATGTGAAATAATGACACAAATGTGTTAAAAAGTGATAGTAACTGTTGATAACACCGAAATTTAGCATAATTAGAATATTTTAATTTTGCGTAAAAGTTTCATAATACAGCTTTAACATGTGA